GATGGGTGGTGGGGGTGGGGGTGCGGGGTGTGGATTGCTCCAGGGACGCGTCTCGGGTGAGGGATGACGCAGGGTGGTGGCACTGTTTCGTTGGTGGTATAAAGGCGTCAGGGGGCAAGGTGCTAAGTCTGGACGCCGCAGGTGGGCCCAATGCCTTGGATGCCCCGGAGGGGAGGTGCACGATGCGGGGCTGCTGAAGCGCATGACATGTCATGCAATGTGCCGCACCGCCGTGCCGCAGCCAAAAACTGCCCTCGTGCGAACGCCCTCACCTCCAAACGCGATGACCTCGACCCCCGCCTCCTTCGCGGCGTCTATGGCGCCGCCCATGGCCTTTTCGTAGTCCTCGTTCGAACAGGGAAACGGGAGCTCGATCTGGGGGGCGCGGGCGCGGGCGCACGTGTGCAGGCGGCGGGTGGCACGGCCAAGGAGATACATCGTAAAGCCCCACGCGCGTGCGTGTGTGTGTGAATGTGTGTGTGAGTGTGTGTGTGTTGTGTGCGTCTAGCTGCAAACGCGTCCATCTATGGTTTTGAAGGGCATCGTCAATGGGGGTTTAGGGTTACGGCGGAAAGCTGCTGCCTGAGGTTTTGCATGCGAGATGCCTGGGTTATATACCTGGTAGAGGGGCAGGCCAGCCGCATCCGCCTGCTCCTGGAGCAGCGCGCATCTGACGGCGTGCATGGCCACTCGGTTGGCCGACTGGTTGACTGACGTCATGAGGCCCACCACCTGAACAGTGGGGTTTGAGTGTGGGCGTGTTTGCAAGTATGTGTGTGTGTGTGTGTGTGTGTGTGTGTGTGTGTGTGTGGGTGGCTTCCAGAGTAATTAAGTGTGTTAGTAAATTGCGTGGACGTGTGTGTTTGCTTCACCTATGTGCATGTAGGTTCGCATGCCCGCGCCTGCATGTTGGTTGTCAGGTGGTGAAGGGTGCGCAGGTTCAAACATGGCACCTGGCATGATCGTGTCGCGCCCACTGCCTGGTTATGCATTGTTTGCCGCTGTACACCATTGTGTTGACCCGCTATGATTACCTCGATGGTCGGGTCTTGCAGCAGCACATGCAGCGTATAGCATGCATCTTTGCCACTGCTCCACGATAGCCAGCACTTCCGCCGGCCCTCCGACATCTCAAATCCTGACTTCCAGCTGATATCTGAGGTCAGAATGCAGAAGGTGCGCCACAAGGGGATGTTCACAGTGTCCGGGCGGCTTGTCCTGCGCACTGCCCCGGCGTGCACTGCTTGTCGCCTAGCTGTCGGCGACGCACAACGCTGCGTTGGCGAATGCCCGCTCGAGGCTGTATGACGACCTGCAAATTCTTCGCGTGGATGATTGTTGTACCAGTCGCAGAGCGCGATGGTTCTCGCTGTCCACCGCGTGCCAGATCAAGTGTGAAGCCACCGTGCTGTATGATGTGAAGCAATAGCACCATAATAATGTTCAACGTCCACGGAGCTCGTTTCAACCACAATGCCGTGCAGACAACCAGATAATCCCCTCTGGCCGGACAACTGCTCTGCAACCTGCCCGCAACACCCTGTCGAACAGTTCACTTGTGACCAACTCTTGCCCTTGCTGCGTACGGACCACTGGATCAATCAAAATTTTGCCAAACACCAATTACAATCCGCTATGCAAGCACGGGACGCGAATGCGAACGAACGCCCGCGTCAACAGTGGGCCACCACCCGCAGCCGCCGCGCGTGCAGCACTCGCGCTGGGCCACCACCCGCAGCCGCTGCCACGGTGCTCCCTCCCTTGCACGCGCCCGCCGCAATCGACCAAAAACATGACACCGTCAATCGCTTCGCGCCGCGCCGCTCGTGTGAAGCCGCTCGTGAGAAACGCCCCTAACAAAAGCCTGGGCTTGCCAAATTAGTCGCCAAACGCGCCCTCCAGCAGGAAGTTGGCTGCAAGCTCCTCCTGCTTGTCGCAGCTGCAAGCAAGTGGGGCCAGCAGGCAGGTTCTCAGTCACACCGCACCCACCCTACGCCCCATGTGAATCGCTGTGCCTCTTTTGAGCAGGACGCCGCGCTCGCGACCGGCGTCCGCCTTCCCGCTGCGAGCACCCTGCTCAGCAACCTGCTGAACCACCCACTCCCGCCCCCAGACACACCTAGCACCCAGACCCCTCCATCCCAAGCATTACCTCTGTGCCACGCCCCCTAACGTCACCAGGACCCTGCCCTCAAGGCACCCCCCCCACCTCAGGTACGCCTCGATGCATGCGGAGCGCTCAAACCCAAGCGCCTCCAGCCGCCCGATCGCCGCCTCGTCCTCCGGCGTCAGCTCCACCGCGATCATGCCGGGCGGCAGGCCGCCCTCGCCGCCCGCCATGGCCGCCAGCGCCTCGGCCATCTCGTCGTCCTCGCCCTCCTCCCCGGGCTCCATCACCATGCGCAGGAAGTCGGCCTGGTGGGCGTTGATTTGCTGCGGTGGTTGTGCGGCGGGAACGAGGAAGGGGTTGTGAGTTGGGACGGGCTGCGGGTGGTGCGGGGCCGAGGTCAGTCAGGGAGGGTGGCAAAGGTGGAGGTCATTTCCGGCGGATGCCACATTGATCACCTCAGCGCCCACAGCCGCTCGCGGTGCGATGCAGGCAAAGCGCAGGGGCCCCGTGCGCTTCTGCCGGCCCTTGCTGTGCGTTCCCGGCGCAGCCGAGGCCGCCGCCGCGCGTCACGGCGCGCCTGCCCCCCACCTGGAGCAGCTCCGGATTCTGCTTGCCCAGCTCCTGCAGCATGGGAACCAGGATGGTGGGGTTGGACTGCACCGCGCGACGCAGCATCTGGAACTGAGGATGGTGCCGCAGAAACTCGAGCGGGCCGCCACCAGCGCC